AGTAGTAGTAGTAGTAGTACAGTAGTAGTACAGTAGTAGTAGTAGTAGTAGCAGCACTAGTGCAGTAGTAGTAGTAGTAGTAGTAGTAGTAGTAGTAGTAGTAGTAGTAGTAGTAGTTGTTGTTGTTGTTGGTGGTGGTGGTGGTTGCTGCGGTTGCTGCTGTTGAGGTCCTTGGTGGTGTCGTGGTCGTTGTCGTTGTCGTCGTGGTTGTCATCGTGATGGTGGTTGTGGCGGTCGTGGTACAGACAAAAACAGCAGCCCGCAGCTTATGTTAATTAGAAACATTTGGGAATGCTTCCGACGACCGCAAAGGGTGCCTGTAGAGTTTTGGGGAGTGCAAGCCATGGTTTACACAGCATTTGCGCCATGGTAGAAATGCGGCGTAGGCTGGGTGGTTGTTGTAGATGGGGCGCAAAACAACAAACGGGGCTCCAGTTTTTGTCTCTAGCAGCAGGTAGAGACAAAGGCCCCGTTGAGATCAAGACTTTGTCTCTACCTGCTGGTAGACACAAAAAAAACTGGAGCCCGGTCTGTTGTTTTGACCCCCACTTTACAACAACCGCCCACCCTACACCACCTGTCAATTATGGGAATCTGCGAAGTGTAGATAAGTTTTCATGGGTTTTGCAAGGAATTCACAATTTACCGGTAATGTTGTCATGTGATTCTGCAAGGTTTTATGGAGTTTAAGGGCTTTAATTGGGGTTTTTAAAAAGTTCGTCTGGAATTATCAATAAGGTTTGGTAGGGTTTTATGTGATGATTTTCATGGGCTTTTATGGGGGTTTTAGAGGGCTCTTGTGGTGGAAGGCATTTAGAAAGACCTCAATGCTTTGGAAAGCCTGGGCTTTAGGCGCTGCTGCCTAGTACTGAATCCCAAGCCTAAAGCCTAAAATCTCAAAAACAGAAGACTGCAAGTTCTTAAGCCTAGACGCCGCGGAGTATCACATAGATGTCAAGCGAAGCCGTCAGGGCCAAAGGCTCAGCATCCTGGGCTCGGGAACTCGCATTCTGCAGTACTATAGGACCTTCCAGCACACTGGAGCGCCAAGCCACACAGCCACCAGTCCAGAGTGGCTTCTGGATCCTTCCGGTGCAAACGAGCTGTCGGTGTAGACGGAAAAATCCTCGCCTCGCCAGTAGAGCCGTTGTAAGTCAATGCGCAGAGCAATCTGCAAACACGTCGGAGCTGCTCTAGTCACTCTAGTCAGCAGCGAACCCATGGCGCAAACCACAAAGGATATGTCCGGTTTGTCCTCTGAGCAGTCCAGAGCAGCTCACCACAGGCCTTTTGAGCCTGCTTTATCTCCTCTTCGTTCCCGGAATTCTCACCCTCCAGAGCCGTAAAAATCACTAGCTCCTTTGGTGCCTGGATGGGCGACTGCTCCACTTCAGAAGTTCCGTGATGGCGAAGGATCTCGTCGATGTAGGGCCGCTGGTGAATGTAAACCGCATCATACTCCTCACTAGCGGTTATCTCGCTACCCAAGAAACGAATCTCACATGGTCTGCATCCAACAGCTCAAGCTCCGAAGCCTTCCAGACTGCCCGAATGGCAGCCGACACTGCTCGCACCAGCCACAGAGGTCCATACAACAAAAGGTTTTCCACGTAGACCAATATCAATCCGTCTGGCTGTTGATCAATTCGAGCACCGACCTCGTAGAGAAGCCACATGTCCGGTTCTGCACTGCCTTGTCGAAGCGCCGAAGTCTTCTCCTGGTGGGCGATAATCATGTTTTGCATTTCACTGTCCCTGAAAGCAGACCACAACTTCGGGTTTTGACGTAGCCCCTACATTGCCCTACATCCCATGCGTGAGCTGCCAGCGCTCACCCTCTTCAGCCAAACCCAACTGCACCAAAGCAGCTGGTGGACATACATTGTAGATCACTTGTTCTTCACATCCCGGCAACGGAGTGAGCATGCAGGCACCTGTGATGTCAGTGATGCCAGATCGCCATCTAGGCTTGGCGGGAAAGTCAATGCACGTCGAAGACTTTCCGTTGGCGCTCCTCCTGCAAAGAGCTCACCTTGCTCTTCTGACGCATAGTTTCCACAGCACACTATTCGCGCCTTCCGTTTACAATAGGCAAGTTCATCACCTGAGCCAGCCTCCTCCAATAAAGGCTTGACGGTACGCACCAACTTTGATGGCAACCCTCGAGCCACATACTTTCCAAGCGGCCATGTCTCTTGTAGTAATCCTCCTAATGAACACCAACCGCCTTGGAAATCGATGGTTTCCACTTCTGCATCAGGCTCCATGAGTGTGCCGAAGGGGTGTCTGGGATTCAACGGCCTTGGTGATAATATACTCATTGCCCTTGACATACTCCAGCTCAAGTTTGGCAAGTCGGGAACCATCATACAATCCAAATGAGGCCCAGTACTCAACATTCCCCTCCATGTCATACTGGTACATGAACCCCACCTCCTCTTCGCTAAGCACATCCGGAACCACAGTCAAACTTGACAACCCTGTTTGAGGATCATCCGACGCACAAACTTTGCGCAGGTAGGTCGTCTCGCCCGAAGTAGCCGTGCTCATCTCCTCCTCAGGGTACGTCTCAACGCGCAGACCCCATTCCCACAGGGTGGCCTCACAGTCACTAGCAGTGCCACGAGCTTCGCTCCTTGGTGTTTCAGATGGCAAGGAAACTGCCTTTAGCACCGTGTGTGGTTTCCAGTGCCCAGCTTGGATCCAGGTCACCTTCTTCAACTTGAGCAAGAGGGAACTGAAGAGATTCCAAGTACTTCTGGTCCACAGCGTTCAACTTGTAGGCTCCTTGAGGAGTGTAGGCAGACAGGAACTGTTTAGGATTCTCATTCTCACATAGGCGTGGGGAGCGGGCCACAACAAATTTTTCGCGGATCAAGCCTTCGTCCACGCAGGCTGTCTCAGCCTGCTCCGTCGCCACGAGCCTGCCGAGACGTAAACAGCCTCGATTCCATGAAGTTGATGTGAAGAAACCTTCGGTGTTGTGGAGAAGGAAGTTTGCGTCGCCGGGAGATTCAAGAAAAGGAAGGAGACCAAACATGTGTCCTGGCTCAGCAGGAAAAGCAAAAAGAGGCCACCGTTTGCTACCCAGTAGCACCCACTGATTTGGTTTACGAAACAAATCCTTTGCCTCGAGCCGCAAGCTACAAAACTCACGACTACTGCTTCAGCTTGGAAAAGCACATTGGGGTTATTGCTTGGGCCTGCATGGGTATGTGCAGCCAGAGAGCGTCAAACACCGCCGGGCGCCTTGTTACTCCAGCCGAGCACCCATCAAACACCTGCCATCAACTTCTTCGTGCTGATAGTCCTGGGCATCCGATCCGCCAACAACCTGCCTTTCATCTCCTTGATTTTGCACCCGCAAACCCTCCAAAGAGTTCGTCTTCAACTCCATCATAGTTGTAGGTGTGCCGCTCATTGTGGCTGTCCTTGTGCTTTGGAATGCATTCAACCGGTTGGATGGCGATTGTCTTCTTCAGCCTCTATAAGGTAGTCGTTGAAGTAGCGCGTTACCCAAGGAAGATCTCTTCCATATCGGGTGATGCCAAAGTAGGCACCTCCATGCAGGTCCATGCACATACGCCCTGAAAGTCATCCCTTCTCCAGCTGGTGCCCTTGGAACTTTGAGGTTCCCACAAGTGCCAGCAAAGAGGGCTAGCAGTCGGGCACAATGTTTCTCAGCAAACTTGTTGTCATTGCAGAGTTGCCCAGCTACAGCCTCAACATGTTGAATCTCAGCAACTCGCAGATACTTCGCCTGGTACTCCGCATCCTCAAGACCATTCAGAGTTTGGGGCGCATCATACAGCACCTCAGTGTTTGCGAAAAAGCCATCAAGCCTTGAAACAACCGGACCCTTCGATCTCACTGGTCGATGAGGTGGTAGTAACGGAGGTGGTGGTAAAGGAGACAACCACTGGAGGTGCAACCTCGTCCAAAGCAGGAGAATCTCGAGTCACTCGAGGGGGGTCCGGATAAAGGCCCCTGTCTCCTTTAGTATGACATGGCCTTCTGTGATATCTGGTCCAGTCTGGGCCAAAGTCTTCGACAGCACCTGCCTTGTAGCACATAGACCTTGGTCCCATAGGCCACACGCATAGGAAATAGAACACCCAGCTGGCCGCGCAGTTGCTGCGCGGCAGCATACTGCACAGCCGTCGGCCAATGCTCCTTCTCAACGCCAGCACTGTCCAAAAGAATCCTGGCTCGCCTCTTGAGAAATCGAACCCAAGACTCAGCAACCCCATTAGCAGCGGAATCAGAGTCTGGTGAATGCGAGTGATGGGGTAGCCCGGGCCTTCGCATCGGTGACGATCTTACGTGCAGCTGGCAACATAGTTGCTGCCTTCTTGTTGTTCACCGGTACGGCGAAATACAAGGTGGTGGTGGCGATCGGGTCCTTGCACGTAGACAACAGCTCCTTCTTCATCCACATCCTCAGCGGCCACACCGCGCCTTCTGGAAAATCTTCGTGGTCTTCGCCATCATCATCTAGAATCTAGAAGCAACTCCTCCTAATCGTCATCCGGGGGTGGAGGTATAGGGTAACCACGAAAATCACCATGACCATCAGCATCTTCTATCTTCAGAATTCTCATGGCGCCATTGACAGAATACTTGAAGAACTTGCCGTCCGGGGAGCGACCATATCCTTTCAACGGTCCACCCACATCCACACTCAAGCTGTAAGCCATGGGGTGCGCTGTAGACCGGTGCTGGTGCCATGCCGCGCCGTTTCGTTCACAGATAGAACAGTCTCGCCGAAAAGGCTGATGATTTCGAGACACATGCAGTTTCCACGCTGCATCACTGTTCAGCTTTGCCAAGCGTACGCAGCGGTCACCCACAAACTTGTCAACGTAAACATCCGACAAGCCCATCTCATCCACATAGTCCCGGGAGTCCTTGCATCGAGTCTATATGGAGGCCACATACTCAACGTGGCCGCATCCCCCGCTCCAATGATCTTCTTGATGTGCTCAAGATCCTCAACATAAAACTTTCTCCTCCCGCCGCCATACTGTTCCCGGCGGACCAACAACAACGCATGAAGAAAGTGAAGCTGGTGGGGGCCCGCAATTACCTGATCCAAAGGTGTGGTAGGACAATCCCTGGCCACAATTGTGCCAATCTTCCCACTCAGTGCCGCCCACTGAATCACCTCCTTCCAAACATCCTCAAACTCATTCTCAACAAGTGAGGTGTTCATGTTCACCTACACCGTGTTGCCGATGTAGGAAAGATGCTGAGCGAGCTGATCGCCTGACAACAAAGACCCGGTCTTTGTCTGCCGCATAGAGGCCACCCCCAGCAAGCTGAACGCTCACATCTCTAGCTGCATTCCACTCCTCCTCGGTCTTAGCGGCTCGAAGAACTGCGTCGTACCTGAGTCCAGCAAGGCAGGCCGAATCTTCCCAGAGGTGAAAGGACCATCCTTCCATCTTTGGATCTTCTCCATCACCGACTGAACAGCGGCATGCTCTGCACCTGAGAAAGCACTTTGAGGACTCTTTTCTTAGCTTCCAAGTTTTTCCGGCATTTTTCCTGCAGTGCTGAAGAAGAAGGCCTTGAAGTGGCAAGGGATGGGAATGTATGACGTTCCTACAGGTTAGCCCTGCTCGGCCACCTTGGTCCTTGACGAAGAACTTCACGATGACGTACTGGATCTGATGCTGGTACTGGTGGACCAGTCACCTCGGGGACCAGTGGGGTATGGCTTGAGGTAGCTTCTGTGTAAACTCCGGGGCCAAACCCTTCTCGTTCACGTAGTCCCTGATGTGGAGGTACTTCAGGTAGAGGGCGAGGCTCAACCATTCCCATCTCCTGAGCATCCAGCAGTCTTCTCGACACCTCCGCGCTTCTTTCACAGCTTCGCCAGTCCGCCGCTTTTCTTGACCAAGCTCTTCATGGAACTCACTGAACTGTCTTTCCAGCTGCCGTGCGACCTCTGCTTGAACCAGCTCCGGGGAGATCCCGATCCACTCGACGAAGGCGGCCTATTCTCGACAGCCGCAGGCATAGGTCCTCAACTAGACGAAGTCGGGGGCAGCACCAATGCTGTCGCACCATCTTGCACCGGCCACTGTCCCACGTGACCATTCTGAGGTGTCTCATGAGATGTCCAAGCCGTCACCTCAACAGTCCTCTGCAAGTAGTCGCCAATGTTTGACAACCAGGCTGTCGCCCTCGTGGGCGTGGTGACGCGCGCCGAAATACGTGATTGTCCAGGCAAGGTGAGGGCACAAAACGAGGAAAAAGAGGTGCACCAAACGCCGTCGTCTCGTCGCGCCCAAGTCCGGAAACGCCGGTCGGTGGTGGGACAGCACAGCACCGGTTTCTTGCCTCGTCCCAAAGGGGCTCGGCACCACTGTTCCACTATCTTACGGGATCTGACGTGGTCATGGACCACGGTCTCCGTCTTCCTGATATACAGCTGCATCTTGTACAGTCGGATCTATATCTGCACGCGGGGCACCATCCAAAGCAGTACTCGCAGCAACCCCATTCAGCAAGTTTCCTGCTGTACCCTGCTGGCATCGAAGATCACGCAGTGGCTCGGGGCCTGACGGCCGTGGTTCGGGCCTCGATCTGGTCCCGCCCTCCATGAGTGGCGTAGAGCTTGGGGGGCCTCATACCTTGTTGATGAGGGAGCTCAGCGGGGGTTCCAGTCACAGCAGAGTTGAGGGCCATGGTCGCACACAAAGCGAATTGACAACTCTCGAATTTCGGCTTTGATGTCTGTGCTTACTAAAGCGCATCAGACCATACAACAAAGCTGCACACATCCGCAACCTGGGCTTCAACACTGGAAGCTCGGAAATCGTTTGACTTGGAATCCTCTGCAAATCCTTCAAACTCTGTACACCACAACATGACGGGGCTCCTGTTTTCGTCTCTACCTAATGTACAAACACTTCGCAGATATATGGGTTGACGGGGCTACAGTTTGTTTGTTTTGTTTTTGTTGGTTTTTACCTTGTCCTTCTTGTTATTATTGTTATTGTTCATGTTATTGTTCTTGTTCTTGTTGTTCTTCTTCTTCTTGTTGCTGTTGCTGTTGCTGTTGCTGTTGCTGTTGCTGCTGCTGCTGTTGCTGTTGTTGTCGCTGTTGCTGTTGCTGTTGCTGTTGCTGTTGCTGTTGCTGTTTCTGTTGCTGTTGTTGTGGTTGTTGTTGCTGCTGCTGTTGTTGTTGCTGCTGCTGTTGTTGTTGCTGCTGCTGTTGCTGTTGCTGTTG